AGTAGATATCTTCTGACAAGAGAGACTGCATAGTTACTAGTCAGATTGATATTCTTATAAGATTGTTCTTCATATCAATCTTCTCTTTTTGTGATTGTTACTTGCGACCCCAAAAATATTTTCGGTTGTTGTTGTTGAGGAAAGGCGTCATTGTCAATACATTGTCAATACATTACATTTCCCGTTTGGTTCATATACCACAACGAACAAACCATGGCGGACGTGGTACAAAATATCACTTATGCCTCACCTGTGGCAGATGCAAAATTGGCTCAGATTATTGGGCATCCTCAACTCAATAGTTATTTAGCCAAACTGGCAGAAGTCAGCGCATGGCAGATTGTGCTTACAATTCTTTGCCTCATGGTAGCTTATGATCAATGTAAGAAGAAACTTCTCAACGCGTCAATGGACCAATCGCACCACTAACACCTTGAAAGTTAGTTATCTCTGGCAAAAAGGTTCAATCATCGGTCCAGCATGGAAAGCCCCCTTTATCGGTCCATTTTTACAATCTGTCAATCCAAAATTTCATGAATATCAAGCAAAATGGGCAAGCGGTGACCTCAGTTGCGTATCTGTTTTCCACAAGTAAGTCAACACCATGATGTGCCGCTTCAAAAATTAGGCCCTAATCATTTTCAGATTCGTTGTTATTGCTTCTACGCGTGATATGGCTCGAAAAGTTTTCAATTCCCCAGCATACGTTAAACCATGCGTAGTCGATGCAGCACACAAGTTATTGGGCGAGACCAACTGGGTTTTCCTGGACGGAAAGGCTCATGTCGATTTCCGAAAGGGTCTCAATGGATTATTTACTCGCAAAGCTCTCGATTGCTATCTCCCAGGGCAAGACGACGTCTATAACCAATACAATAAAAGATTCGCCAAGATTACTGAGGAAGCTGGAGGAAAACCCATTCCATTCATGTCCGAATTCCGAGAATTGCTGTGCGCCGTTTCCTGTCGTACATTCGTTGGTTTCTACATCTCAGATGAAGCTATCAAGAAGATTGCCGACGATTACTACAACATCACTGCTGCTTTGGAATTGGTCAACTTCCCAATCATTCTTCCATTCACCAAGTCTTGGTATGGGAAGATTGCTGCTGATATGGTGCTTGAGGAATTCTCCAAATGTGCCGCAAAGAGCAAGGTTCGCATGGCTGCTGGTGGTGAAGTTTCTTGTATCATGGATGGATGGATCAAGTCTCAACTCGAGTCCGCTGCTTGGCGCGAGGCAGAAGAAAAGGGTCTCTCAACTAAAGGAATGACCAAGCCAACACCATTACTCCGTGAATTCACCGACTACGAAATCGCTCAAACCGTCTTTACCTTCTTGTTCGCTTCCCAAGATGCTACTAGCAGTGCCGCTACCTGGTTATTCCAAGTGATGGCTCAACGTCCCGAGGTTTTAGATAAGGTCCGCGAGGAGAACTTACGCGTTCGTGGTGGTGATAAACGAGTTAGACCAAACATGGACATGATGGAAAGCATGAAATATACTCGTGCCGTGGTTAGAGAGTTATTGAGATGGCGCCCTCCTGTTCTCATGGTCCCATATGTTGCCAAGAAAGCATTCCCAATTACTCCGGAGTATACTGTTCCTAAAGGTATGTGAAGCTGACACAAAACCAATGTCCAATTCTAACCACTGCAATAGGAGCCATGATTGTGCCAACAACTTACCCAGCTTTACGCGATCCTGATGTATATGACCGACCTGACGAATTCGACCCTGAACGTTATTTCTCTGGTGACGCAGAAGCAAAGGGTGCTAAGAACTATTTGGTCTTTGGAACTGGTGCTCATTATTGCCTGGGACAAGAATATGCCCAAATGAACCTTGCTCTTATGATTGGAAAGGCATCGATGGAACTTGACTGGGTTCATCATCCAACTCCTAGATCAGAAGAGATCAAGGTCTTTGCTACAATTTTCCCTATGGTTAGTATATAATCACGTTGAATGGCACTTGATCATTACTAACACCAATTACAGGATGATTGTCCATTGACCTTTACAAAGAGACCTTGATCATCTTAATATCTCTGTTCGAATTTTCGAAATTTTTCACCAATCTTCACACTACCTTCTCACCATTTTTTATTATCGGAACGCCAATCTCCGCATACTAGGGGCAAAGTTGCGGCAGTAAGGTTATGATCATTTTAATGCATTAGACTGGGCGTTCAAATGTTTCTGTCCATTACATTATAGGGGAAGGAAAGGCGTTATTCACGAAAGTAGTAATGAAGATAGGGATGGAAGAGTTGGTTTGTGTAACTTCTTCAACTTTTGACGAAGAAAGCACGTGAAACTCACCAAAGGATATGTAATCAATTATAATTAGTCATCATCTTTTGTTTTTCAAACGAGGTAAGAAGTGAAGCATAAGAAATGAGAATAAAGATTCATTTGAATTGCAATAAGTGGGTTTATGAATACTTTGATGATTTGATTGAATAGTGACCTTGCTGTGCTTTACGTAGGTTGATATGAGAGAAGATGAGATGGATAGGGGAGGCGAAGAAATGAGATGAGATGATGAGTTTGAGGAAGGGGGAGGGGGAGGAGGAGGGAGAGGGGAGAGGGGAGAGGGGAGAGGGGAGAGGGGAGAGGGAAGTGGCGAACTTGGAGAATCTAGGTTATTGGGATGGATGAACGAATGTGTAGGTTTGAAAGTTAGAGGGGGAGTTTTAGAGAAGGGAGCGTAGAGAGGGGTTGTCGTACACGATCTGCTATACTCTATACGATGTCCGAGATGCGAGATGGGATGCAAGATGGGATATACGATATACGAGGGTGGTCAGGTGAGGGTTTGGATTTGGATTTGGATTTGGATTTGGATTGATTAGGGTGGTGTGTGTGTTTATTAAGGAGGGGAGGACGGAAGGAGGGGAGGATAGAAAAATTGGATGGTGTGTGGTGTGTGGTGTGTGGATTATACTAAGTACGTAAGTGCTTTGATGTGGGATGTTGATGGTCTTTTTGTGTGTGGGTTTCATGTGTGGGGTTATTGTGTGGGGTTTTTGTGCATTGTGTGATGGTTTGGGGTTGGGGTTGTGGTTTTGGGAGATGTGTGGAGAGGTTATGGTTATGGTTGTGGTTGTGGTGCTTGGGATGATAGTGAGGAATAGTAGTGAGGAATGGGTGATGAGGAATGGGTAATAAGTGATATTGCTCTATTGTTAATTGAGTTGGAATCGGGTTTGAAATAGGATATTGGGATATAGTTGAATGGGAATGGTCTTGAGTGGAGAAGGAGTATTAAATGAGTCAGTATTATTAATTGAGTGAATGAGTGGGTGGGTGGCAGTGGGGAATTTCGAATGTAGCTGAGAAGGATTGGTCACGAGATGAGATGATTGGGGCGGGGTGTAGATGGATAGGGGATTGGATAGTGTATGGTACTTGGTGTGTGTGTGTATATGGATATACAGATATACGGATAAGGAAACTCGGAAATATGATATCGGAGAGGAGGATTACTAGGTAGGTAGGTAGGTAGGTGGGTAGGTATGAGAAGATGTGCTGTGCTGTGGAGATGGCGATTGTGTTTTAGGTTTTGGGTTGTGTATTTTGATCTTTGTATTCTTTTTGGATCTTTTTTTGCGGGGGGTAGAGGGAGTAGAAAGAGGGGAGGAGGTGGGAAGAGGTGGAAAGAGGGAGTGTTGTCTGAAGGGTTCTGGTGATTTTGAGGGCATCGTTTTTCTCTGTCCGTGACTGTTCTTTTTTGGGTTTGAGGGATTGAGTGGGTGGGTGAGTGAGTGAGTGGGTAGAGAGGTAGATAGGTATAGAATGATTAAATTTGATAATCTCTTTGATGTTTGAAAAGAATCAATCTCTTCTGTGAGTAGAATTATTGTTCTTTCCTCTTTTTTGAGGAGGGGCGGAGGCGGGGAAAGGGGAAAGGGGGAAATGATGTAATCCAATTGGTTGTGGTTGTGGTTTGGGTTTGGTTTTGGGTCTTGAGATTTGGCGTGGAGGTGAAGGTGGAGATGGAGATGGAGGTTAAAGGGAGCTGGAGAGGTTCTTGATTTATGGGAGTTCATAAATTTAGTATAAATGTAATCTTACATTGTGGTTGAAGGAAGGGTGTGTGGTGTGGATCTGAATGAGCAATATTGAAGAGCTGAGATGGGATGGAATGGGATTGAATGTGGAAAGTTTGTTCGATTTCTTTGGTTTTCTGGTAGGTGTCAGGGTGTGAGGGTGTTTGTTTGTAGAGTTTATGAGAGAGTGTGTGTTTATGTTTGGTTGTGTGTGATGTGGTGCGTGGAGTAGAAGTATGATAAAAGGGGAGGCTCGAGATGGGGTGGGGAATTCAGGTTTGGGGAGGTGCTGTGACGTGGACCATGTGGTTGAAGTTAGCGGGATGGATTGGGAGTGGAGGATTTTTTTAAGGGGGGTTGGAGAGTTGAGGGATAGCATGGGGATGGGATGGGGATGTATGTGTTTCTATGTACATGTATACATATTCTTCAATGAGGAAATGGTTCAGCCAGGCACTTGGAATCTGTGATCCATCCCCATTGTTGATGCGTAGTACTTTGATTTTGAAAGCAAAATGACGGGAAGGAGATGAGAGATGATAATCGAAGAAGAGTGAGAAATCGAGGGGATTTTGCTTTCTTCTTTCTGCATAGGAAAGGACATACATATTTCATTGACGGGATCATATCACGAGAAACAGATGAGATACGAGAATCAGGAATACTCATACTGTAGACTATGTATGCAGGGTCTCAATTTGTCCTGCTCTGGGGTGTAAGGAAATCAATGGAAATTCCATTTCTTCGTATAGCTAAATAGATGGATAGGCATTATCAATTTCGATTCCAATTCGAATCCGAGGTCTGTTTCTGTTTCTGTATCTCTCGCACGCGCGCTCACGGATCCATGAATATAGTCTCTCTCCCCTTGTGAAGTCACTAATAATGGATAGATCTCTTTGATGTGGATACAGAGATCTGGGGATTGGGACGAGATGAGGAATCTTATTCCTTGTGGGTGTGGCGGCTGTTAACGTAGCTGAGTTCAGGCTCGCGCTTGGAATTGACGTAACTCAATTCTGGCTCTCGCTTGGAGTTCTGAGGAGAGAATGTTAGTATTAGGGGAGTTGGCGGGGTATGGAGAAGGAGAAGAAGGGAGGGGGGGGTTGCGGGACGTACGACGTAGCTTAGCTCGGGTGAGCGTTTAGAGTTGACATAGCTCAATTCGGGCTCTCGCTTGGAGTTCTGAAAATCTGTCAATAGGGGCGTACCAAAGAATGGGAAGTGCCAAACTAACCACATAACTGAGCTCAGGCTCAGCTTCACGCTTCGAATTCACATAGCTCAATTCTGGCTCTCTCTTCGAATTCACATAAGTGAGTTCGGGCTCCCGCTTGGAGTTCTGAAGAGAATGTTTTAGTGGATCGGATGGAGATTGGGATTGGGATTGGGATTGATGAGCATACCACGTAGCTAAGCTCAGGTTCTCGTTTGGAGTTGACATAGCTGAGTTCGGGCTCTCGCTTGGAGTTCTGAAAATCTGTCAATAGGGGCGTACCAAAGAATGGGAAGTGCCAAACTAACCACATAACTGAGCTCTGGCTCGCGTTTGGAATTCACATAGCTCAACTCTGGCTCACGCTTTGAGTTAACATAGCTAAGTTCTGGTTCTCGCTTCGAATTCTACACTCCCATGAGCTAAATACCACACAATACCCTCACAAAACATACCACATAACTCAATTCCGCAGCGCGGCTATTCACATAAGATAGCTCTGGATCACGTTTAGCCATAAACCAATCCAGTTGAGCATATGTAGCATCCAACACACCTCGGGCTTTGACTTCTTCTGCTTCTAGTCAGTGATGATTTTTTTGTTTCTAGGAAGGGTGTGATATAGACCTTGAATAGGGCTCAGAGGTGCTGCATATGCGAGACTGAGAATGGCTGTAGCCAGGATTATGGTCATGCGAACCATTTTAGAGAGGTGTTTTGGGGGTGTTTGGGCTTCGGGGTGGGCTTGTTGGAGGTTGGCTTGGAAGGATTGATGTGATTGAACGATTGAGAGAAGTAAAGTTAGACTTTTAGTTATAGACTTTTAGTTATGGACTGTTTATATAGATATCTTTTGACTTCAAATAAATGAGAATGTGTGAGTCTTTTTGGTCTACCCACAAAGCGAACGGGGAGATCCGAAAGTGCTGCACAAGACTATCCTATAGAGTTACATACTTCCAAGTATTGTAACTCACTGTTATCTAGCTGTCGATCTATTCTTTTCGTTCATTCATACATACAAGATAAGACCATCCCCGCAAATGGAAGTGTTGTAATACGTTTTTAGACATACAACTGTATGCATCACCGCGTAATTTGTGACGATGAGTCGTTGAATCTATCGAATTATATCTTCGGCAAGTAAAATAAAACGCATCCCCGATTTGAGAAGCCAGAAATATGTAAGATTACAAAATCGTGAATTAGATCCTAGTATCCTTTCAAAGCATATCGGTAAATTGAGGTTTGTCGAAACCACTACATGGATGTCGAAACAGGTAATAATGAGACTTTTCAAAAATCTCCGCTGCGACGAAAACTGTGGCGAAGCAGATGTTGAAGAAATACCTCATTTAACTGTTTCTTTATCACTGTTCCGTTGTTTGTGTTTGCTGAAGCAATCCTTGTCAATAATGACCTAGATGTCATTTTTAGATATATATCTGCATGTATAAGTGGCTTCTTACTTTTACGAGAATAGACTTGGTTTGATTGGGGTTATATATCGGAAAGCAAGAGTGAAACTGGAGCATGAGATTAATATATGGAGAAGGTGTGGGCGTGCAAATGGGGATTACGTGGGGAGGAAGCAGGGTTAGTTAGGATAGGGGTGGAAAGACACCCTTTATTATCACTGACAGGAGAAATACACACTGATCTAACTTGTGTTTCTGCTGAGTGATTTAATGTGGCTAGAATTGATGTCACTCTGTATAGCTGTTATAGGCCGCAAGCAATTTGGGCAAGTGACTTCACTACAAGCGTTTCGGGTATGTCCAGGAGAGGAGATGGTGTTTACACGGTCTACATAGCATTTGTTTAAAACAGTTCAAGTTTGTTATGATGCCGCTGATACTACTACTGCCGTGTATCTCTACACGGCTTTGATCTATCACCAATCCATGTATTCCGTATATAAAATATGATACTTACAAACAGGGTTGCTATTCAAGTATCTATATCTGACTTACGAATGACGTAGCTTCCACATCTAGCAAGCAGCTAATTGAGATACGGATTCTGAGATATCTTCATCTTCGTTCTCTGCTACTAATCAATTGCTTCCGTATTAAAACCGAGTCTAAAAAATGTCAAGTCGTCATTCCGCGGAAACGCCAAATCTACACTTGGAGAGCTCATCCACACTTTACAAGATAACCAAAGATACAAGGAATGATATCCTAATCTACTGGTAGATAATTATCTAAAAAAAACCCTTCTCATCCAACTAAAAGTCCAAATCACACTCTGTACGACCTCTCGCGAAACACAAAAGTTTGCACGCGAACGGGAGAAATTAGCCGAACCCTCGATTCCGGGACTGCAGATATCGTCGTGCATATCCCTATCTGCATAAGTTGGCTTGCATATTCGTGGATCGTGGATCGAGATAATCGTGCATTATGTGGCTTTCTTTTGCTAGCTGAAAGAGAGGAGGGTGGTTTTCTCCTATCTAGAGAGAATGCGGGGAGGGAGTTATGGTGGGTAGGTGTAGCGTGTTGAGATGGTTGAATATTGGGGGTTTAGTGTTGATTATGAGGTGGTTACAAATGAGAATTAGGATCTATTGGCAAGTAATTGCTTATATCAACTAGAATTTAAGTCAATAATGTTCATTTTGCTATCAGTTATTCGATGCATCATGGAAAGAACCTGGTATGAGTATCATGTCAACATCTTCTCCTAAAAATGAGCTAATATAGCTACTTGCTTTATAAAAAAGCAACTCAAAAGGAATAAAGGTCTTATTAAAGTGAACAAAATCACTAGTGGGTGCATATGGATTGACGGGACAGTTTCCAATCATCGAGATTTATAACAAATTCATTTTTTGGTTGTTTGATATCAGAATTTATGGTTTAATTGTTTTATTCTATAACGTAGTTTATCAGTATATGCACCATATCAATATGTACATCACTTTTACCTTAATTTACACTCTTCAATCTCAACATACGATTTATCAACCATTTATTATATAATCGAATAATAAAAAAGGGAGAATACTTTTAGCTATTGAAGCTATTAAAAAAGACAAAAAACTTTTGATTTGAAAGGTTGTTAAATTATATAATATTACATATATAATACTTATTCAAAGAATAAATAGAATAACTCCTACAACTGAATTTCGATTACAAAATCTGAAACTTATTAAAGTAAAAGAGTAAGTGATTATTTCATATATTCTTGATATGAATTCGAAAGGTTTTTCTCCTAAACTTAAAGGGGTAGAAGATATAGCGAATTATATTCTCAAATCGAAAGAAAAAAAAACTGTTAAAAAGTTTTGAGCATATTGATTTATAAAATGATATAAAAAATTAAAGATATATTTTAGTTATGTTTATAATTTTCAAAAAGTTTTTTATAAGAATTCTAAGCTTTTTAAAAAATAATTTCGATTAATTGTGAATATGCGAGCAAAATATGATATTTTGGATAGAGATTTCTATAATTTCAATGAAATAGGCTTTATGATAGGAATTATATATGTAATAATGATTGTTATTAATGCTAAGAAATGTGGTAGAAGCAAATCAGTACAGTTAGGTAATCGAGAATAGACTATAGTAATAATATACGGAAATAAAGAGGATAAAATTATTCCCTTATTTCTAGTAGTTCAAGGATAGGTTTATCTCTTTAATTAATATATCGAAATCAATCTTCCTATAAACTAAGCTATTAAATTTATATTTAATAAATGAACAAATAATAAAACGGATTTAGAATAATTAAAATACTTCGATAAGTATATTAAGAATCGAAGAAAAGGTAAATATCGAATGTTAGTGCTGGATGGGTATAAAAATCACAAATCAATAGCTTTTTAAGTATACTATAAAGAGAATAATATTATATATTTATATTTACTATTGTATTCAAGTCATTTAACTTAATTATTTAATGTTGATTGTTTTAGTAATTTAAAACGTTTATATGATGATTAAATTAATGGATTTATTAAGGTATATATTAATCATATTTTGAAGATTAAATTCTTTATAGCTTTTAAAGCTATATACAAGGAATTAATTACTTCTTAAAATATGAAATCAGGATTTCAAGGAATAAATTTAATCCTATTTAATCCTAAAGCTGTACTCTCGAAATTAGATATTCGAATTTGTACATCTACCCCCCCCTTTTTCGATCTAGATTAATGAATCTCTTAAACCCTTTACAACCCAACTAAAGCTTTTTTTTTAATTAATATTAGTTAAATCTTGAATAACTTATTATTAATTAAACTTATTTATATTTATATTTGAAACTATATTAGCTCTAACTAAAGATATAAAGCAATTAGCTTATAAAAATACACTTTTAAATATAGAGATTTATATATTTCAAGTAGTGAATAAGGTATTAAGTAAATATCGACACATAAAAAACTTAATTATATTAAGGAGGAGTGCTTATCGAATAAAAAGCTTTTGATATATTATCTTAGCAAAAAGTTGATATTCAAATTCAATATAACGAATATCAAAAAGAAAGTAAATTCAATAAGGAAGTATCTTCTATTTAATATTATAGTAAATATGGAAAGATAGGTTATAATATAAGAACCTATCAAAATAATATAATAAATTCTAAATTATTAGATTCTGAATAATTTTAATCAATTGATTCAATTATTATTGAATAATATAGGTTTGAAAGTGTAAATTGAGGTAAAAGTGGTGTATGCACTGATAAACTACGTTATAAGTAATTATAACAACTTCTAGAATCTACGAGTAATATATCGAGAGATATCTGCGAGTATATTTTTGCAGTGTCCTATTAGTCTATACACCAACTGGTGGTTAGTATTGAGAGAAGAAATTTCGATTTTATAAACATCACTTATTTAACACAATCCGAAGTGCAGCACCCGATTCCTAGTTTATGATGTTATATCATACGCATTAACTGTATAACTTACAGTATACCATCTACCACATTCCGTTCGAAAACAGCTACTCCATCATTTCCTCTCCTATCCGCACTTCACTTCTCACTTCATCAATCTCTAACCTCTCCGTTCTTCAATATGGGTTTCAATCAACGCATACTACAGATGTTTAAGTACAATAAGCCATTCACATATGCAGAATTGGATACCTCACGTGTAAACTCGGATACTGAATATCAAGATGAAGATGGGCTTCTCAACCGCTTTTCTGTCGGCGATGAATCATTAGAAAATGCTGAAAAGGGAGACACAGATACTTGCTATAAGCATCACTCATTTGTGAGATGTCTGGGCTGGCTGAATGGTCTTTTCTTTTGTTTGTCTTTGTACTTGTTTACAGCAGCTATGCTTAATTGGAAGCAAGTTCCAGGCGGAAAAGAGCGAAATTGGGCGTTGAAGCAAGTCTCCGAAAAGTGTAAGATGCAAAAAATCTCCAGCACTGAAAGAATATCTTATTAAGAAAACCACAGCTCCAATTCTAGACGCGATCGACATTCCGCTTTCAACCTGGCGACTCAACGGCACTTTTCTCGAACGTGAAAACGAATCCATCTACCGGCAACCTCCATCCCCCGAAGTCGACGCAGCATGGGCCCGCATCGAGACTCAAATCCTATTCCCCTCTCCCGACAAGATCTTCTCAACCAGGGTAAAAACCCCGATCTCTATGCCAAATTTCCCGAATCCTTTGGATTCGGCCCCGACGCCTTCATCGGCCGCATCGACGTCTTCCATCAAATCCACTGTCTCAACCGGCTACGCATGCATCTCTACTGGAACGTAGCATACTACTACCCCCGATGAACAAATGGGGAAATACCACCAATTGCATGCTTCGCATTGCGTGTATGCGTTATTGCAGAATCTAATGTGTCAGGGAAATGTGGATACGTATGGTCATTATTGGGTGGATATGCAGGAAAATGCGGTGCCGGACTTCAATATTAATCATAAGTGTAGGGACTTTGAGGCGATTCTGGAGTATCATGATGAGATTGCGGTGCCGTTGGAGAAGTTTGGGGAGTTGAGGAGACCGCTGGATGAGCCGGTTAGACATATGACGCATGAGGCAAAGGAGATATTTAGATGGTTTGATAATCATGCGGATGATGGTCAGGATGGGACGGAGATTTTGTGATGGGTTGAATTGGACTGGATTAGAAGTTGGATGTTGTGCAATGATATTGAGATGTTGGGAACGAACTGCTGGTGGGAACTGTTGATAATGTGCACCGTGTTGAGAAAAAGTCGTCTCGGGTTTTGAGAAAGGATACCTACTAATATGTAGCCTATCTGGTACAAACCATATCTAAATCAAAATTTATCCAGTAGCAAAGCTAGAGAAAAGAAATTGCATAAAGCTTACATAAACGACTAGCTATTGGTGACTAGTAACTACAACACCATACCCGTGCATCTCAACTCACACATTTCCCAAAAGATCAACAATCTGATGGAAACATGCTTCAGAATCTCCAACAAATTTTGTAATACCTAGTTCAAGCTCTTGACATTCCGTCAATTCATACAATTTTCACATAATACCCCAGACCCCCTTCTTCAATTCATCGTCTCATCAAATTTCCTAAGAAACCAAACTTGTTCCTTCAGTCCATTACATACTACCCCATCTATTCAATCCAATATCCAAACGCCAAGTTATCAAATTTTCTCTCCCCCCTTTTCTCTTTCCGTCCATTCATTCATTTCATTCTATCTCATTACTCCAACCCCCTCCCTCTTTCCCCCGAAACATCCCCCTATCACATCCCTATACCCTACCCCCTAACCGTAACCGTCTCCCTCGCCGTAACCGTGACACTCACACTCACCGTCTCCGTCTGCGTCTCCGTCGCACCACCCACACAACTACTCATACTAGTAATTTTCCCATCCCCTCCCACTCCCAAACAAACATTCACCGCCGCGCTCATACTCGTCGCTACTGGCGCAGTAGTAATCGTACTCGTTTCCTTCGGCGGCGAATACTCAACGTCGTTGTTCTCCGCCCATCATCACTCACACTTGTAGCTATAGATGTGCGAACAGGAGTCTGAGCAGTAGAAGAAGGAGAAGGTGTAGTCTGTGCCAAACCATTACCACCCGCTGTTGCGGAAGCTGTAGGACTAGCGTTGATGATGGTTATAGATGTCGTTGCGCCGCTATTTCCTTCGTTGCTTGTGGTTTTGGGAGCGCCGTTGCCAGAACCAAATCTAGAATTAGATTTTGAACCGGATCCAGCAGTAACGGGAATAATAGTTAATGCTGTCACAGCACCGTTGTTCGAATCTGCGGTGTTTATACTGATGATTATGGTGCTGGCTATTTCTATAGTTTTGGGGATTTCGACTGTGGTTCTTTGGGTTGTAGGTGCGGGGATAGATTCTTGACTGGCGGTTTCTTTGATGGAGGATGTAGAGGTAGGTATCCTTGTGGTGCTAGAAGATGACTCTCTTGTTTTTGTTGATGGTGTTACGGTTGTTAGGAGGATTTCTGCGGTGCTAGCAGGTTGTGTAGTGGGTAGTTCGGGGAAAATTGTAGTTTGTGGCTCTGAGGATGGGGAAAACGAAGAGACCTCAGACGTTTTGATAGTTGTTGCTACCGAAGAGAATGATGATGTGGAGGAGTCGAATTTTGTGGTTTTCACTTGTATAGATGAAGTCGAGGTTGTAGATGAAGATGAAGAGCTTGGGATAACTCCAATAGTTGAGGATGGAACAACTGTGGTTATGTATACAAATGTTGTTTGCAGAGAATCACTCGATGTAGTCTGAGATGAATCTCCCGTTATTGAGGATTTTTGAGTAGCACTCTGCTCAGATGTTCCTGTGGTAGAGGTTGGGACAACTCCTAGAGTCGAAGATGGCACAATTGTGGTTACGTATACAAATGTCGTTTGTAGAGAATCAGTCGATGTCGCCTGAGACGCATCTCCCGTCATTGAAGTTTGGGGAGTAACACTCCGCTCAGACGTTCCTGTGGTAGAGCCTGGCGCTTGAGTAACCGACGTACTAGACGGCGTGATTGTGCTCTGCGGTTGAGCCGTAACCTTCGAAGTCTCCTTCGTCGATAAGACACTTTCCACTAAACTTGAGGCTCCAGCAGTACTCGATAGAACCGTTATGGGTGACAGTGTTTCCCTTACAGAACTCTGAGAAGTGACTCCAGAAGCCTTCGTTGTAATACTAATCGTGGGTCCGGAACTCAGACCCGAATTACTGGAGATTTGCGGGATTCCCGTGGCTACCGTGCTTGAATTTCCAGTACCAAATGGTGCGACTGATACACCCGACACTGACGTCAGTACTGATGTCAAAGTTGCTGACGAAAACCCCTCAGAAGTCTCACCCGAAGAGCTCTTTGGGGTTGCAGTAGCCTTTGAAGAGGTAGTTGGAAGAAGTGGGAATGTCGTACTCTGAACAGAATTCAGACTTGATGGTGTCGAACTATCTAATGATATTGAGGAAACTTTCGCCGTAAGATTACTCTCAGGTAAACTCGTAGGTAGAGGCGCAAATGTTGTAGTCTGCAAAGAAACCTGGCTCGAGGAGGAAGAACTCGCTTGTGAATCAGATGTACCCTGACTTGATGCTTCACTCTGCGTAGAAGATTTTCCGGTAGGCGCCGTGTTCAACGGTGGAGTAATCGTCAATGTTAGTTCTGTTGCTGTTGGAATTCCGCTTCCATCTCTGGTTTTGGTTTTTGAAACTTGACTTGATCGTGCCGGGGCTGTACCTCCTGTACTTGATATGATTGAAGAAAGTAGCTGGGAGGAAGATGTAGCAGGGCTCAATGACGTCTTTGATTCGTTATATTCATCTGATGACGTGCTAGAAGTACCCGTCGCGTTTTTCGATTCCGTCGTTTTCGATCCCTCAGTTGATTGTACCACAGACGTCGTTGAAGTGCTGCTCGACTGTGAGGAAAGAGTCGTTGCACTCGTACTGGATGTGGTGATTCCTTCTATTGACGATGTGGATTCGGGTTGAGCTGTAGTACTGATTATCGAAGAAGTGACCGTCCCAGGTAAAATAGTGATCGCGATGGGAGTAACACTATCTCTTTTCCTTTCACCACCTCGTATAAAACTAGTGCCAAATTAGAATTACCCAACGCGGAACCCTCTCAAAAAGTGACATGGGGTAGAAGAGAAGAGCACTTACTTCCTACTTGTTCCATTGCGCCACAACGGACCAGCCGCACCAAGATGAGAAAGAAAAATGGTACTAAAAAGAAATAGCGGAGGTGAGACCTTCATGATAGTAGAGATGATATCTTTTAATAAATATTTCGTGGGAAGAGTTTTTAGGAGGAAAGGAAAAGCTAGATGTGGACCAGGTTTATATACTGATAAAGATGGGAAAGATTGCAAGTTTTGAGTATCAAAATTAATGATTAACAATTTAGCAAAGAAATTTGTGAACAAAAAAAAAAGAGAAGGAAATAATCAACGACAGACAAGACACGAAACAATGAATGGAATTGAAAATAGGAAAACGAATGATGAGTAGAATATGGAAACTGAAATCATGTTACCAAAAGTCTCGACTCATTCTATATACTCGAAATCTCAATAAAGAGGACCGGGAATGCGACCCAAACCCACTAAGTGCATTGCATTGCAAACTTGGCGCTTTTCCAGAACTCCATCAGATCGACAGGTAAATAGACAACTGGTCAGTTTGCTGTACGATTAACTACAGTTCGATCTGGTTTCCACTCGACTTTCCTCATCCAATAAATGCAAAGTACACAACATATAGCTCAAACATGACGTTGGCGCTTAGTAAAATTATCTCGTCTGAAAGAATCGCGTTGTGAATCATTTGATTGGCTAGGATTAATTTCAGGGGATGTGTTTAGCGAACCCGAAAATGAGTGGATGAAACGACAAGCGCGAATAAAAAGCTTGACTCACATGAGAAATGTAACGTGAACCTGTCGTATTAAAGATGAATCGATATGTTCAGTGGCTTGTCGATGAGAATATCGAATAGTTCAAGCATGAGGCTCAATTCTCATGTTGTGGTAGGTTACCCAGATGATGGCCATTGAACGGCTGCGCGCCTAGACCTTTCGGGATCTGCATAGATCCAATGATCTGATTGTTTGCATGAGAATGGTTATAGAGAAAAGTCTAGATGTAAGATAATTTGATTAAGCTAAAAAGCCGCTGAATCTAGATCTCCCAAAATAGCAAGTCTTGTAATCTTACGTGCATTGCCGATTTTCATTACTCCACCCGCCGAATCTACCGACCGTCCTCATCCATCATTCTCCAGTCAAAGTTTGAAATACCCCGGCTGCAACCTTTTAAAGACTCCCTCGGGATCATACTTTCTTTGTACATCCCTGAGTTTATTCTCATTAACCTCTCCATAGCCACCAAAAACGTTTTGTTCTTTACTTGCGTAATTCATATAAATAAACCGATCATCAAGTCCCCATTCTTTTGCCAAACTACCACAAGCACAGTGTCAGTTATCATGGTTAGATGGATCTTGAAGAAAAGTAGAACGAAATAAGGAAGGATAATACTGACTCAACAGCCCTTTCTACAAATCGATCCAATACCGTGAAAACTTTCTCGTCATCTTCTTCATTTTCCCATCCCCAATTAAGGTTCATTACTATCTTCTGTTAGCTTCTTTCTGATTCGACTCTTGTCCATGTCCTCTCTTCCTCCTCCCCTGCTCCCCTGTTACCTCTCGCCTTGTCCCCTTTGCACATATTATCTCTTTCTTCACTTACTGCTAAGCGGACCTCCTTCCGTCTCTAAACCCAATATGTTCCCGCCCCTTTTCTGCATATGTCCAATAATACTAAGTGAAAGAGGTTGAAATGCAACAAATGGCATAATTCCTGGTACGTCTACAACGCCATTCGCTTCTTCCACGAAGATCTCATGAATCTTTTTGAAAAGAGTGGCGTTATTTTTGAAAGTGACTGTTTTCCATCTAGAACAAGAGAGAATTTGGTATGTTAGCACTGATCATAAATACTAGGTATTGGTAAGAAAAGACTTCCGAGGTGTAAGAAGGTCTTTCATCTCGTCTTCTTAACAGATATATGTATATATGCTTTCAATCAGAAGAGTCAATGAAAATAAGACATAGTAATTGCAGGATGCTAGCGTTCATCTTAGATCCGCGGAGGATTGCATATATCGCTTATCTGGTAACGCGAACAACGATCGAAGGAAAGATCACCTACGTTTCTCTAAAAACATATCAGCACAACGACACCCAATATCTCATATTACGACAATATCTTACCTCAAAAAAGCCGTCTGATTAATTGACACCGACAACTCCTCCATACTCGCTAATCCCGTCGCACCACCCAAACTTACAAGGTCGTTCAACGCTTTAAAAATTGTCGCATTTGCCACCGGTTTTGCATACACAGGTCCACTAAACGTCACAAACCCTCCCAAACTTGGTACATATCCACAACCAATATATAAATGGGCATTGTCGTCAGTCGGTGCATCAATAATAAATTGAGAATACACATCAAAGAGTGAAGCATTGGAAGCCAAACTGTAATATTTGGATCCTCCCCATAAAAGTCCTTGTTCAAATGCAAATGCATCGAACCTCGTTACTATCCCGAAGTTCGTACCGGATCCGCCACGAAGGGCTTGGTAGAGATCTGGATGTGATGTTGGAGATGCATTGACAATACTGCCGTCTGCGAGAACAACTTCGTAATTGAGAATGTTATCGCAAGCCCATCCGTACTTGCCGGAGAAATAAGATATTCCACCGCCAAGTGTAAGTCCTCCCACTCCCACTCCGGCTTCCCTTCCTCCTACTACGCTGACTCCCAATGGATCTAACACTTGATAGACATCATACCATGTATTTCCAGGTCCGATACTTACTGTTCCTCTATCTGCACTCAATTGAACTGTATTTAATTTTTGCAGATTGACCAAGATACCACCTTGTATACTCGATGCTCCAGCAAATGAAGCATGCCCCCCGCTTTTCACAGCGAAAGGGCAATCCGTCAGTTGAGAAATCTTGATAGTTGTAGAGATATCTTGAGGAGTTGTAACATCGAAACGGCAGCTCGGTACGACTTCGGCTTGTTGAACTGACCAATATGGGAGGGGTGCATAGGATGGAGACGACGGGGTTGTGAGCTTGGTGGGAGAGAGGAGAGAGAGAATTTTACACTAAATTGATAAAAATGTGATTAACCGATATCGTATTCATGAAGTGAATCGTGAAACAGAACACTCACTGCCAATTGACACTTATTAACGCCTCCGTAGGTCTCGCCTAGCTCTAGAATTTGGGCATATATTTCCGGATCAAGGGAATCCAGACCTAGGCTGGTCAAGTTGGCTGAATTAAAAGCTGGCGGTGTAAACGCTGCGCATAGAGAAATGACAGTGGTAATTCCCACAAACAAAGTGTCATGAAAACGCATGGTCCAAGATTCTGAGAGTGTGTGATACTTTGCCTGAGAAGAAATGCGAGAGCAGAGTACAATTACTCTTAGAATCTACACCTACGAGATCAAGGGCCCAACGCTCGTGGAAAGCATATTTATACTATCTATGTCCACATGAGCGATCACATCGGAACTGGGTTTTACCCGTGACGATACTTATCTCCAGTCGGTAACTTCGGAATTTACTCAATCACATTAAGCCTAGTATATGGCAGATCTCCCAACAACTAAGCCCACTTGGGGGTTAGCTCAATATCATAATCAAAACTTCGTAAAGGAGATATATTTGAATTACAACAAATCGTTATTGAATCAGCAATTACTATTCTGCTATGACATAATTACTTATATCACTCTTAGATACTAAATCAAGAGAGCTTGAATGGTACATCAAATAGAGTCATACAGAATCAAAGCTCTAATTATTCTAGAGGCGAAGACAATGTGCGGCGGTGCAACGGTCAGGAATGGAGGATATACCAAGATGACCCCTTTCTTTAGATACGCGACAAGGCTCGGAGTCGCAAGCGTACCGAAGATATTGGAACTTCATTTGATGCAAAAACCCTCCTCCTCAACATATCAAGAGAAGAAAGAATGGAAGAAAATGAAGCACTCGACGTTAGTATGATGGATACTTGAAATGATACAGAAAGATTGAGAAGACTACTGAGATCCCAACGGCTCTGCGAGAAAATCCTATCAAGCTTACCAGGAGAATTGAAACTCTAGACAAAAATACGATTTAAAAGGTAAGCTCTCCGCAAAGTCTCCAATAAAGAGCGCTTTGTGTATAACCGCAGCAATTTCGCTTCAGCAGTTAGTTCTATAGCGCGATCACTTACACCAGTGGCGCGCTGTAGTCGTATCGATTCGTTGCTGCTACTTACATGGTTCTGCTATCAAAACTTCCAGAGAAATTTCCTATCGAGATGGGAATCATGGTACGAGTGATACAAATTACGAGAAACTCAGACAAACACCTCACAGGGCGATATCACAGCCGCATATTTTATCCACACACCAGAAGTCTTCACCGAAAACTCGGTACCCGGCTCAGTTGGAAACTCTTCCTCTGCGTGGACATATATCCGCTCATAAACCAGCAAATGTCTTTCCCTCACTACAAGAGTACGAATCCTTGGTACAATTCTATCATTTGCAGCCAAGATTATGAACATCTCGCCGGCTCAGCAGCCTGGAAAGCTCGAGCTACTAATAGCTTTGGGGGTTGAGACTATGACGGAGGTGGATTAGTCCATATAGATGGCACTATTTTGAATGAAATCGATCAATGGACGATGAAAGATTGAGCAACCCATTGAATCCTATCCTGCAGGTGTTCTTCTGCCCAGCCTTTAGGGGAGAGAGGAAACCGATGGCTCTGTTGTCAAAAGTATGTGGACGCCTGTGCTGGAACTGACTGACCTGTACTTTCGCATCTCTAGTCTGAAGTCTCTAGCCGCCGCGTCTAATGAGCGCTATGTGAATTGGGAAATAAGTAGACCACTATGGAAATAAATCCCGCGCTAGAATACTTCACTATGCAGACATATTGACCATCCAGCCAAGCAGCTAACTTTCACTCTCCAGCTTCCACATTCCTAAACTGAACCTATCAGAGGAGTTTTTTTTTTGCTCATATAAAATAATTGTTCGAAGCAGCATAGCATCCACACAGTTCTTTCCCTTCCCATCTCAAATATTCCTCTCTACATATACAAATCGAAATCACATAAACTCCGATATCCCACCTTCGAAAAATAACGATCAAATATGCCACCAAATCCGTATCTCCATTTACTAAGTTCTCCAGAATTTCTCTTTCTCATTCTCTTTCTCATTCTCACTATTCAATTTTAACTTTCCATCATCTCTCAATCCCAAAAATCAGTAACCAATTTCGTCGAGCCTGATACCCAAAACTCTACTCCCAAACGAAGCTGAAGAAGAAAATGATAACCGGTTTTATTCATCTCACAGTACAGTGTGAAATCAAAAAATCTATCTCAGGAATCAATCCCCGAAATCAATTCGCAAAAACACAAATACCTTTCGTACAGCAACACCTACAATCCGACTCTATATGAATCTCAATTCGAGATCCATTGTCTTGCATTACATCTGCATTTACATTTGCATAGCAAAACATAACATTTACATCACATTTCAGCCCATACGCATAGACTCAGCGAACACCTATAATCCTTCACGTCCATACGACAACCTATCTCGGCTGTCCATACGACGGCTAAACCTCGGTTCTCGTTCGCCCATTCGTACGAACGAGCTGGCTGGCCTTGTGAATGAAGTGGATTCATTCCTGTATATATTTCTATCGGTCATGCAATGCAATACATACTACCTAGGTAGGTGGGTAGGTAGGTATCTTTTATTAGAATTTTGGATTATTTATTATAAACAAATACCGGTATACTAGGTAGGTAATTGGAAATGAATGACGATCATCAATTCCCATTACCATTCCAATTCCATGAAAGGAGTAAGTACACATGAATTTAATGCCGCGGGTTCGGATCTGAGGATCCCCTGCTAAACCTCTCAGTATATATAAAGACACTCTTTTCTATCTCATCTACTTCCTATCACCATCTCCATCAAACTGTACATACTCGACTCGCTCTCCCATCATGCTCGCCACTACAATTATCTCATTACTATTTCTGGCATTACCAGCGCGATCAGCAACCGGTCAAGCTACAAACTTCAATATCAGTATAGCCGAGCTCGAATCATATGGATGCAATGCATCCTGTCAAGCAATCCTATCCGTATCTAATCCTGCCGACCTCGAAACCACAGGTACAGAATTCGACTTTGATTTCTACAGCACACCAATCAATTTCTCTTCCTCTGCTCCAGGTGATCTTCTGAAAATGCAGCCTGTCGATAGCTCTACCCTGGACATACCCGATGGCATTGCAACTTTCCGATTTCAGTATACTTCTAAAGACTTAGATGGTACTATCGTCCCATCCAGTGGCTTTATAGCATTTCCTTTTGCCTCCCCAGCCAATGGGAGCCAGTTTCCACTTGTCGCGTTTGCCCACGGTACAATTGGTGTTCATCGAGGATGCGCACCCTCGTCTTCCACTAATCTTTTTAATTATAATAGCTGGGCCCAATTGGTTTACGGTGGCAATGCTGTTGTAGCCACGGATTATGCCGGTCTCGGAAACAACTATACCTTACACAAATACTCTGCTTTCACGGCCCATGCCAATGATATATACTATTCCGTTCAGGCAGCTCGGAAAGCATTTCCTGGTATGTTCACAAAAGAATGGGCAAGTCTAGGACATTCTCAAGGTGGTGGCGCCGTATGGAAGCTATCGGAGCATCCTCTTGTACAGAAAAAAAGCTCTGGATATCTTGGAACAGTCGCCATATCTCCCGCATCTAAGCTTTATGACATGTCAGTCGAGACGTTCAAAAGCATAATCCCTCGTCCTGATTTTCATCAATTTGTCGCTACTGCCGAACTTGGCCAGCTTGTTTACGGCCTCAAGGCAACCTTTCCCAATGACACGGCACCATTGTTGGCCGATGCGATGAGAAAGCGGGTGGAGTTGGCCGATGTCATGCAGTCATGCACTTTATCTTCTATGGGCCTCTCCCTAGACTTGCGACGGGACCAGTACGCAGTCGCTAATGGAACACCTGCGACTGATGAATTACTCAAAAAATTCCAGGACATGAACGCACCAGCACAAGGTGATTGGGCTTCGAAGGCAATATTGATCATCCAGGGCTGGAACGATACCTCAGTTCTCCCTCAAACTACCTTGGAGTCATTCCAGGCAACTGTGAATGCAGGAAATGTTGCACATTTGATGAGATATCCGGGACTAGACCACTCTGCGACAATCACAGCTTCTACTCCTTTGTGGTTGAAGTATCTAGCTGGGTTGTTTGCTCATAAGAAACAACCCCACAAGTCGTCGGATACCACGATTGTGCCATTTAATGTAAACGTGGCCAAAACCCCATTGGAGCTTCCTACCAACGAGGAGCCTCTATTGAGCCTACTAGGGTGAATGATAGAAAATCATGATGAAGAGGAGGATGTTTGCAGGACGTCTTTTCTTAAGCAATGACTTCAATGGCTCGCTAGAGCTCGTGGCGCTCTTGATAGGTTCTTTCCATGTACTTTAGAAGATTGAGTGTAGACTGCCAATGCGCGGGCAAAACCGTCGAATCGTTTGTAGATAGAAACTGAATCTGAGTAATTTTGCTTTTACATAGTAAGCTATGAAGTATGTTTGATGTGAAGCTTGCACTCTCTAAGCTCCATCATAGTTGTGAAGTCGTGATGTTTAAAGGTGGTAGAACTCCACGAGATAGAATTCCTCAAGTAACCAGGAACATTTCGAGATAGAATGTGCTAGAAGCTTCATTCTCTAAACTTCCACTGTAGCTGTGAAGTCATGAAGTCTCAAGGTGGTAGGACATCATGAGATAGGATTCCTCAGATAAACAGGAACCTTTGGAGATGGAATGTGCTATATAGTATTCAAGTCATGGTTAACCATCGATTACTCAATAAGGTGATAGTTACGCGTATCATAGTATGTCTTCCCCCTTAATCGATGCAATGTGCTGATGGCTAAACAAAACCCAGGCCTCTGTATGCACTGTACCCTGCCCGCATCAAGCATGTAAAGTCGTAGACGTATAGAGGATCAAGAATTCATTGAACTTCGAATATCTAGGTAGGTAAGCTCGGATTGTGGGGTTGCAGTTGAGTTGGGATTAAGGTTATTGATGTAATCGAGATAAACAATTGCTGAAATGAGGTAAGGTTATGATCAGAGTTACCATAATACCATGTTCCATATTGAACCATTGAGGCTGAGGTTGATGATGTACAGTTTAGTCTGGATCCTGCGACACTGTTTCAACTTCCGACCATGGAAATGGAAATGGTTGATGTTCTTCATTAAAAGTAAAAGTATAATGATGATTCCAAGGTTACCGACATTAGCCACGCCACATTCTAGTCCACGAGCCACGAGCCACAAGCCACAAACCATCATTCATCTGGGCAGCCATCATCAATCACCTGCAGCTATCAACTATCAACTATTATTTATCAATGATTATGTATTAATGTAATTAGCCATTATCCAATAGTCGCCATCCATCAGCTATCATCTCTCAGCCGTCAATTATTAGTTCTCATGTATCAATTGATTTCTACTCAATTCATTAGTCATTATCTGTCAGCCATTATCCAATCTGTCAGCCATGATCCACCAGCCATAATCCACCAGCCATTATCCACCAGCCATGAGCCCCCACCAGCCCACCCACAAGCCACCTCCAAAAAGCACTCCTCTCATTCCATCCTGCCCGGCTCTTGGTAGTTCGTAGAAGAAGGCAAAAAACCAAAAACCCCCCCCCCCCCCCCAAAAAAAAGATCTAACCACCGATTATCATTTCCTCTGTAACGTTTCGTACTTATTATTATGCCGAGTACTCGACTCAGTCTATCTACTTATCTACCTAACCTCAGACTACTCGAACTACCAAGAAACTCCATTGATCGAATTCACAATTTCACCATGCCATCGCCGGCGATCAATATACAGATTTTATTTCCCAGACTACATCCACTTCAACTGATCGGTCCAATCAAGATTCCAAGATCTCCGCCGCCTTATACCTAGCTACTACCTAGCTATTGCTACTACTGATACCACTGATACCACCGATACTACAATCTTTTTTGGATCTTGCTAACCTTAATAACTTCCTTGTCATTGAATTCTCATTATTTTCATGATAACTCGCACCACAACCTGTCGCCCTATGCTAATTTGACTTCATTTATGTTACCATTCATTCACTCGCTCACTCAATCACTCACTCACTCACTCATTCATTCACTCATTCATTCATTCATTCATTTGCTCATCCAATCTCATCCGACTGTCCTGGCTACCTTCCCACCGGGGTAAAGCGGGCAGTGGGTAGAGTTTGCCCTTTCTGATCAATTGTACATTCATACTTGAGCATGACGCTTGTGAAGAGATTCCATTAAGTCACCTCCCCAACTGCGATGCCCACCAAGTTCAGTTCGGAAACATCTATTAGGGTGTCGGAAATTCAAAGAGTACGAGAAGTTTATAAGTTAGTGATTGGAATCTTTCTTATCCTTTCGACTCGTATTCAATCCTAATAATTGATTGTCTAGATATCTTCCCCCCTTCGCAGCACCCCTCATTCCCCCGCCCAAACAAAATGATAAAGATGTAGGAAGTGCAAAAATCTACCCCAAGGCATTCTCCTCATCGGATCGGGCACTCAATGCCTTTGCACAACTCGGCGCTTTGCGACTAAAGGCAAGGCGGGCTATGATTTCCCTCGTCGATCGTACACATGAATATATCTTGGCAGAGTCGACAAAGACCTTATCATCACAAAATGATGATGTGCACGATGATGGAGATTTCCTATGGCTAGGCTTACGAACTATACCCCGCGAAGACTCATTGTGTGCTGCGGTCATAAATACACCGCGATCAGAGAGTCAGCGTGACGATACTGAATTTCGACCTAAAGTGATACCCAAAGTTATAAACGATCTGTCTAACGAAACCTTGCGCTACGACCCCGATATCATCGGATGCCCGAAAATACGGTTCGTGGCTACTGTGCCCATACGATCTCGTGAAGGGTTTGACATAGGGGCTTATAGTGTGTTTGATGATCTTCCTCGGAATGGATTGTTGCCGGAAGAAATGGAATTTCTAACAGACATAACTGATACAGTGATGGAGCACCTTGAGAACATTGCTGTAAAGCGAGACCATTTGAGAGGAGAGAAGATGGTGAAGGGACTAGGATTGTTTGTAGAAGGTCATTCTAGCATTAAGTCTTGGTGGCTGCGCACTCGAAATGATCGTGAAACATCTGTTCGGGGTAGAGATTCACACGCTACAACAAGCGTAGGGAATCTGACGGTTGCTACTGAAGCTACCCATGAAACTTCGGAGGCTGCTGATCAATTGCGAGAGATGGAAGAGTCGATACCTCTACTGCCGACCTCATCCTCACCTACGAGTAATCTTCGCAAAGATCTGCCACTCAGACCGAGAGGTGAAAATGACGAATCGAATGACCATTCCTCTGTTGAAGTGAGGGATAGCTCACCTTACTTTGGGGAACAACGCGATCAACCATCCACCCTTAATCTACCCAATCATTCTCCCCAAATACCTCCTGATTCTCCATCGAATGAAACCCCCAGAAGTTCATTCTTCAAGTCTGCTGATCAAGCGCTTCTATCCGTGGCAGCCAGAGAAACAACCATCAACGAAAATAAAACTCGATCTCCTTCCGAAAAAGCCGAAGTTTTAAAAAGAATGCTTTCCCGTGCTAGCAATCTCATACGTGAGTCGACAGATGTGGAAGGCGTAATTTTTTTTGATGCCAAAGAAAGCTCTTTTGGGCACCAATCTTCTTTGCATAACCAAGAGAGAATTGCTGGCTTACATGATGCTGCACAGATATCTAGCAGCGAAGATGCTTCGAAAACAACTTCGCGGCCTGATACCTCGGATAGTGTTGATGGAAGAGATCATGACAGGGGGTCAGGCATGAAGGTACAGGCTTCACAAACACGCATGTGTGAAGTACTAGCATATTCTACAGCCTTACGCTGTACATTGCGTGGGGACCCAAGCTCTCCAGAGCACCTCACTGTCAAAGAAAATTTTGTTCGCCGCCTTCTCAAGCGGCATCCTCATGGCAGAGTTTTTGCATTTGACGAAGGGGGTCATATGTCGTCAAGTGAAGATGATCTTCTCGACGCTGCGCCGAGTGGAGAAATATCAATTGTTGCAGAAACTCCTCAAAACTCGATAGTTAAGAAAGCATCCTCTAAGGTTCTGGAAGGCCAAACTATGCTACGAATATTTCCCGGTGCTAGATACGTAATGATTCTACCATTGTGGGATTCGCATAATGAGCGCTGGTTTGCTAGTACTATGCTTTGGACTTCAGATCCAACTCGAGTACTCAGTCTTGATGATGATCTAAATTACGTGGCTGCTTTCGGAAACAGTATCATGGCTGAAGTCTCTCGTCTAGAAATAGTTGCATCCGATCAAACGAAGACTGCCTTGATATCATCTATAAGTCACGAATTGAGGAGTCCATTACAAGGAATTCAAGGATCGATCGAGCTTCTACAAGATACGCAAATTAGCAATTATCAAAGGAGTGCGTTGGAGACAATTGGACATTGTTCTACAACTTTACTTGATACATTAACCAATGTACTTGACTTCGCAAAAATCAATAACTTTACCACAGCGCAAAAGACGGAACAAAGAGTGGTACGCAACTCGTCTAAGATACGAAGGGCTATCCCAGCAGAGAAGTTTCAGATCTATGGGACAATCAGCTTGACCTCGGATCTTGATATTGCCTCTATCACCGAGGATGTCATTAATGGTATATATGCTGGGCATGTTCATGTTATTCACTCGAATCCACATGATGCTTACACTGATGGTGACTATCTAAACTCACCTACCAGTTCTGATTTTCCAGGAATAAAGGAACCGGCGCCGCTATCTGTAATTCTTGACGTAGACCACAAATCCAACTGGACTTTTCTGACTCAACCTGGGGCCTGGAAGCGTATTTTGATGAATATATTTGGCAACGCCTTAAAATATACCACATCAGGATTGATCAAAGTCAGTCTCGGATGTAAGACTGCCACACCGAAGAATTCAAGAATGAATCAAGCGTTCATCACTCTGACGATCAGTGACACTGGTAAGGGCATTGCGGAAGATTTTCTAAAGCGTCAAATATATACTCCTTTTGCCCAGGAAGACAGCTTGACACCCGGCGCTGGATTGGGTCTTAGTATTGTTCGTCAAATTGTCAGAGCACTCGATGGAAAAATCGATGTTTTTAGCATCCAAGGCACTGGTACAGTTGTAAAAGTTGTTCTCAAACTAGAGAAGTCCCAACCACATTTTGGTGACCTAACTCGCTTGCCAAACAATATCGAAAAAGCTAGAAGTTACACTAATGGTCTAGACTTGGTATTCATAGGAATGAAAATTTCAACGCCTGAGCCTGAGAAAGAGGCATATCTGGAATCCAGTCATGATAGATCTGTGGGTCCAGCAATCTCTAAGATGACCAGGAATTGGTTTGGAATGAAGCCTAGTGAAGCTGTTGAATTTGATGCAATGACTGCAGATATCTTCATGGTAACTTCCGAAAAATTCTATGAATTAGAGAATCATTGGAAAACTCTCTACTCGAAAACTACAGATGATACACAGAAGAAGCACTTGATTGTTTTAACAGGCTTTGAACAATCTGAAAGAAGAACGTTATTCGAGAACTACCAAAATATACATTTCCTCAGCAATCCGTATGTTTTATCTTCATTACCCATGGTCTACATTTCTTATTCTTCCTCAATTGAAATCCTTGAAGACGGCTAATAATATTCTAGAATCGGCCCCAAAAAGCTCGCAGATTGTTTTCTCTCCATATTTGAAAGATCTAATAGCCGGAACGATAGTTGCTTCCTCGCAATGCCTCTTCTTAATCCACGACGAATCACCTCTCCTTCCCTTAACACAATTATTGCCAAACCAGATCAAAGTCACTCACTATCCGGAATTCTCTTGACCAACAAGCCGATCGCACTCCTCGTAGAAGACAACACCATCAACATGAAGATTCTCATCGCCTGTATGAAAAAACTATCTGTGCAATATTACTGCGCGGTAAATGGTCTGCATGCAGTAACCACCTACCAAAACGCGAGAGTCAAACCGGATATTATATTCATGGATATAAGTATGCCGATCATGAATGGGTTTGAGGCATCTCGAAACATTAGGGGGTTAGAGAAGAGAGAGGGTTTGAAAGCAAGTGTTATTGTGGCGGTGACTGGGTTGGCTAGCGACGAGAGTCAAAGGGAGGCGTACAGCAGTGGGATTAATCTTTTCTTGAGTAAGCCCGTGCCTTTGAAGGAGTTGGGAAAGATTGTGTTGGAGATGGAGAAGGAAAATGAGAGGAGAGGAAGTGGGTAGGAGTTAAGGGTTTGATGGAGTTAGAAGGAGGATTGGGTGAATAGATGAACGGGTGTTTCAGGTTTCAGGAGTAATTTGGGATATTATGAGATGGACTGAGATCGGATGGAATCGGATGACACTGGATGACATCGGTCCTCGGATGATGTGAAATCCTATGAGACTCGGCTGGGCCTTGATGACATGGAATGAAAAGCAACGGTATAAAAACGGATGGGTTGGAGTGGAATGGGATGACATAAAATAAGCAACAGAAAGAATATGCATTTACCTAGCCTTCTATACAAAAATACAATGATACCCTGTATACGAATGATGGGATTTTTTATATTTATCTTTTTTGTAATATAGAACTTTTGTATATAGTTTGTTTAGGATGGATAGTTTAAAAGTTTAGTTTGATAGTTGAAAAGTTTATAGTTTGGTGTAGGAATTTGATGTAGTAATTTAATGTAGTAGTTTGATGTGGGATTTGAAGATTGTTAATTATGTAGATTGCGAAGATTGTATGATTTGATTTGATTGAGTTGGAGTTGCGGAGTGGATGGGTGAATTTTGATTGATCTTGAGATAGATTTGTTTGAATGAGCGAGTATGGGATGTGAGGGGTAAGGCATGGTGAGGTTGGGGCTCGGGTTGGGGTTGGATTTGTAGAAGGGAAATGGGAAATGGGAAATAGGTTGTGATATTGAAGGGGGAGAAAGAGATGGGAGGGGAAGGGAAGGGAGGGGATGGGATGAGATAGAAGAAGATGGGAGGAAGGGGGAGGGGAATCTTTTTGGGTTTGGAAGTTTGGAGTTTGGAGTTTGAAGGAGATAAGGAGATGAGAAGATGAGAAGATGAGAAGATGAGAAGATGAGAAGATGAGAAGATGAGAAGATGAGAAGATGAGAAGATGAGAAGATGAGAAGATGAGAAGGCTGAAGTATAGATTTTAGATTTTGGGAGGAAGAGGAGAGATGAATGGAGGGAGGAGTGAGGGAGGAGGGGATATGATTGTGGTGAGGATATGAGGGTTAGATTTAAGGGTTAGATTTGAGGGTTAGATCTGAGGGTTAGATTTGAGGGTTAGATTTGAGGGTTAGATTTGAGGGTTAGATTTGAGGGTTAGATTTGAGGGTTAGATTTGAGGGTTAGATTTGAGGGTTAGATTTGAGGGTTGGAGTTTCGATTTGTTGGGGGGGGGGGGGGCAGGAGATCTGGGATGGGAAAGTTTGACGAATGGATTGATTGATTGGATTGATGGAGAGAGACAGGAGGAGAGGAGGAGAGAAGGAGAGGAGGATTAGATTTGAGATGAGGGTTAGATTTGAGAAGGGGAGATGGGAGATTGAATGAATGGATTGATAGGTGGTAAATGAATGATGATAGATGATAAATATCAATTCCCTATCATTACCTAGATATAACAGAATGGATGTGAAAATTGTCTAGAATCATATCATTCTAGGCTCATTAATTTAGATTCATCATTCTAGCGAAGAGGTAGCTTAGATTTCATTTCATTTCGATTAATTCATATTCTATGATCCATCTTTCTATTATACTTTACCCACCCACCTACCTACCAATCTATCTACCTACTCACTTAGGTATTCAACAGAATATCTCATAACCAAACACCCACCGCCATCCACATAAATAAACATGATGTGATAACTTGTGAGAAGAAGGATGGATGCGATGCTGATGAGTATCAAATCAGCATACTAGGTAATTATATCGGTACCTAGATGATGAGAAATATAGATACAGAAATGATCTCATTTCAATTCGAATTTCCACTCTCGAGGTATAAGTCGGGTATCCTACTTTCTGACCACCCCCTTTTCAAGCCACCTTTCATTACTTAAATAATAATAAAACTTTTTTATTCATGAATAGAATTTATTGAAAATTTATGTATATATAATTCAGATCATTTTAAGCTTATGATGAAGATTTCAGATTTTTAGGAATTTTTTAGATGGAGATTTGAAGCTTTATAATATCGATTTTATAATTTGTATGAGAATTACATATAAATTCTTTTTTTTAATCTTTAAAAACTTTTTAATAAAAATCATTAAAAATAAACTATAGACTTTTATTACAAATTTATATTATTTATAATATAAAAGATTCAAAAAAAATAAAAAGTCCTTTAATTAATAAGTATTTATAGGAGTACTTTTGAAATTGTAGAGATTATTTTTCTCTATTTAAGTTATATATTTATAACTATTGAATTTTTCTTAGTTTTTTAAATTATTTATATAAATTCAAGCTCAAAACCTTTAAAAAAGTAATTCATTTCTTTTTATCAATTACAATTAAAAAGTTATTAAAGATTTAAAATTATTTTCAAATTTATATATAATTCTTATATATATTAAGATTCTATAATAGGGAATATATCGAATAGACTCTAGATTACTCAATAGGTATAAAGTAATAAATGTATTAAAGGATATTGAAAACTAAGTATATACTCTAACTAAATCCGAAGATATACTAAACTATATATATTATCGATTTAAACCTTACAATCTTATAACTTTAATATGTCTTCTTACTATAATATTTATATTTAATACTATAAATAATAAAGTTTTTCTTAATCTATACTAAACTAATTAATCATTTAGTATAAATTATCTAAATAAATTATATTATCAATCCTTTAGTAATCTTTATAGAGCTAGAGTTTCCTCTAATTAATAACTATGTCCTCGTAATAATACAAATCAAAAAATCAATATTATAAAACTTCAGATCTTTATCTAGAAAAATCCTAAAAGTCTGAAATTTTCAGAATAAGCTTAAAATGATCTGAATTATATATATATATAAATTTTCAAGAAATTCTATTCATAGATAAAAAATATATCAATAAGCTAAAAAGGGATTTTTGATGTAAATGAGTAGCCCAAAAGAGGAGTGGTCAGAAAGTAGGGTACCCGACTTAAAATTTAAATCCTTATGCTGAGGGACTTGCTGTCCTTGGGACATTTATTAGGTAGGTGTACATGGAGATGGATATGTACTCATGGGAAAGATGAGGAGATATTAGAAGTATGCTGTGTGTAGTTTATAGATTGTTGTTTAGGGTTTGGAATGAGAGAGGATGAATATGATACATGTTTTTCTTGGCGTAGTCAATTTTGACTCTACCCTAAGGACTATTGAATCCTATACTATTCGTCGAGTAAAGAGTAATCTGCATTCGAAAGAAGGAATGCAGTGTTCCTGCTACGGTTGAACTCTAGTCGGTTAGGCGATATAAGTGTAAGATAGAGTAGGTAGAAAATACAAAGCCAAGTTTGTAGAATCGACAAAGATACTACTCACCTACCTACCCCAGGTTGATCGACAAGCGCTAATACCGATTCGTAGGATCAACCCCATCTCGCTGATCTCTAAATGATACAATGTGCGTCATACGATTGAGGTTCGTGAGGATGGCTATATGGAATTTGTATGTGTAGGAGATTCAAAGCTAGTTTCGTGGGTTGGTGTCAACTTTACATGTGGAAAGAGGGTTCGATTGTAAAGTGGAATGTAGAGATTGATTTGCCTGGGAGAATTTACAATTTGAGATGCATATGGGCTGTTAATGATGGGGAATTGTGCTGTATTCCAGTACTAGATATGGTATTTCTTTCTCATCATGAATCATGTACATTCAGATGCACATTCGGATGGTGAAATGATAGAAGTTTTAGATCTATGATGAGATGGTCTAGCAGATAGCTGGTCTGTAACCATAGGGCCGCATAGCTCGAGGTGCATAGTGATAACATGTGTTGTATTATTGTCCTGAGAAAATATAGGACCATCGAGGAGAAATAAACCTTCCCGTGCATGCCATCGGAATACCGAGTCTGCAACTAGCCGAACTCAAAAAGTCACACACTTCGTGTATATCAAAACTTATATCAAAGATTTCGGACCTTCTCAGCCGGTAAAGTCGGGAGATAATGGTACACGTGAGATTTACAAGATTGGTTTCATACACATCTTCCACTCATTCTTGCATCTTGATTTGATGTTCTTCGTACTAGGTCGACATCAGATGGAAATATTATATGGACTTCCATAACATCGTCATTGCGTAGGTCTTTCAATTCTTTACCCGTGTGAAGGTATAGACTTAGTGTATGCAATAAGGTCTGCCAGCACACAACACATTTGAATACTAGTACCTGGACCTATGTATGGTTCCATGATTTCATTGGTCGAACGAGTCCCGTGATGTAAAATGCATCGGAAGTTTGTTCTGCTGATGCATCGAGTGCATTTCACGCTGCTCAGGCGTAACACCGAAAACGAGGTTCGAAAGATTGGTTCCAACAGTGGAGCAGGTAGATATATGTGAGTTGAGAGAAGATATTTTCCAGGTACCAGGAACAAAGATTATTAGATGGCACCACCGACCTCGGCATGGATGTGTTCAAAAACAAAAGCCAAGAAATATGAGTGGCGGAATTCAAAGTCGATGTTGTGTGACCCAAGGCTTTGGGATTCGGGTCAGTTGATGGGTGGTTTTCATAGAAGGAAAATCATATCCTCACTTACGAGTCATCTTTCCTTCCACCATCATCGTCGTCGTCATCATCATGCGCGGATAAAAAAGTACGCCATTCATGTTCTGCCACTTATTTTTCAAGAATTCCTGTGATTGTTTTTCGTGCCTTGCATTTTGCCGATGCAGAAGTATCTTTTTTGGGTGGTTCCTGAGTGTGGTAGGTAAGGTTAGGTCAATTCGGACCTGGATTCGCATTTGTCTGGGTATGGTCCGGCTAGACGATCAATTATAAAGATCTGCAGGATCGAGTTATGCCTACCAATACCTACGCTGCCTCGCTGCCAAATAGAATTGCTTAGCTGAGGGATATCTTTGTACGAAGAAGATGAGGCTAGATAGTATGAGATGAGTGTACCGGACCGGTGTATGTAGTGGTTGGATGATAGAGTCAGCTTACTATTTTGGCGGGTGGATGTAGTAAATGTAGTAATGT